AGAGTGAAATGCTTCTTTTGGCAAATTTCTCATGAGAGACTTCCTACAACCTACTCAAAGAAAAACATGGTTTATCACTTAATGAATGTTGTCCATTTAAATGTGAGATTGCTATAAAGTTTGGCTTTCCTTAATTAACCCTATATATTTGTCTTCTTTTCTTTCTTTTAATTTGAAGAGTGGCTAACATACAACTCACAACAAAATTGGATAGAGTTGACAATCAACAATGGCCTTGGATTAAAGTTTTTTGCTTTGTGTTGCGAATGTTATGGAAGAATTGATGCAAGAAAGCTATAGAAGGAAAACATCTCAATGCGTCTAAAATTGTTTAAAGCATCAAATTCCATTTGATGGAAATAAAGGAAAATGGGAAATTCAAACATAAAATTTTTTAGAAGATGGAACGCTTGGAGGAGAAATGGAGACATCCCTTGACTGGTTATTATAAGCTTGCTACAAATAAGTCAATCAATCAAGAGGGATACGCTACTTGCAAAGGAGTTATTAGGAATTTAAGTAGAGATTGGATTATCAGACTCCAAAAACAACTTGATTTCTTATCATCTATAGCCTCTAAATTCTAAAGACTCAAGGAAGGATTAAAAATTAGTAAACAGTATAATTTTACTCAGATTCACTATCATGTTGATTGCATAACTTCAATTCAACTTTTGCAATAGAGATATGTGCCAAATCATCTACTTAGGCAAAAGATACATGAGGCTAAACATCTCCTCTCTTTGGCTGAAGACATACATGTCTAATACTCTAATAGAGAGACTAATCATGTGGCAAATTATCTTGCAAAGGAGCACATAATGTGACTGGTCGGTTTCTCCTTTTGAATACACCCTCATTAGATTGTCTTGATTTCTATCATCTAAATAAAAATATGTAATCTATTTTGATTGCTCTTCCTTAAGAGTTAGGAATTTCCAAATTTAGGCTTGCCTTGTAATTTAAAAAAAAAAAAAGAAATAGGAATTCTTCTTCTATATAGAAATAGGAAATTGCATTCGAGCAATTCAATGATTGTCCCCTAACATTCAAAAACATATGACTTTAAGAAAGCTCATCCTGCATAACTAAACCATTGCAATTCATTATGCCTCTAGAGGGAGGAATACCTACATTGATTGGTTGGCTCACCAACAATCAATAAAAGTTTGATACTACCATGTATAATGATCCACTTTTTGAATACAAAGATTTATTATTAGTTGATTTAACTCAGCTTTTGCTTTTATTCATCTAAGACTTCATTGTACCCTTTGGATTAAAGAAGAAACAGAAAAAAGAAAATGAAAATTCTTGAAGCCTCAATTTGTTGTAAATTTCAAGATATTGAAAATTACACTAATTATTGAACCGGTTAAAATAATAGTTTAAAAATTAATAGTTCAATTGTAATCAACTTGAGATCAGATTAGTCATGATTAAAATAATATAATTTAATTAAAATATATAAAGTATTCATATTTAACTATAAAAATAATATTTAAATAAAAAAGTCATCAATTCTCAAGTAAATGGAATATTTATCCATAAAATCTTATATATGTCTTATATAAAAATTAATTATGAGTTTGTAACAATAATAAAATACAATATTAAAAATATTAATTAAAAGATTTAGATTTTATTTAGCATCACAGTTCAAAAGGAAGAAGGAAAGAAGGCAAAAAAACGGAGGGGGGGGGGAATCTAACAAGAGTCAGCCCATTATTGACTAGGTTTTCCCAAGTCAAAACCAGGTTACAAGGACCAATTTGCTCGATCAACCAGATCGCTAAGTGACCGGTTTAGCAGTTCAGAGGTCAACGGGCAAGCAAACAAAGTCATACATAAAAGAACAATTCAAGCCTTTCACCAAGGAGCCACTCTTTGTAAAATAAATGGTTGAATTTGGAGGACAATTTGGATATTACAGCTTTATCTAGAATGAAAAGAAAATAAGAAAAAAAAATTAAGAGATAAAATTAGAAAAAAAATATATTTTTCATTTTTATTTTTCTCTAATTTTTTTAAAGGAGAATAACTAAAGGATAAAACTTTATGCTGTAGAGAAAAATGCATTTCTTTTACTTTTTTTTATTTTTTTTTCCATTCCAAACGAATGATACATCTATATATGATAAATAATTTAACAATATACAATTTTTATAAATCATAAATAATAGAATTTACTTTTCAAAAATTCCCTACACTCAGTTCTCCAAATTAATTTGCAAAAGTACTTTATGATAATTTTTATTACAAATATATAGTACTTAATGTGCTAAGAAGGATTAACTTGGAGACAACGGCAAATTTCTGATACAACCCAATGTTTCTTCCGGATTTGTCAGTTGCAATAAGTCGCGGCTGTCCCTTTTCTAATACTAAATAACGTAACAAGAAAAAAAAAACTCAAATAAAATCATAACAAACCTCAACCAATAAATTATACTCTTTCTTTTAAAAAATTTAAAATATTATTAATCAAATCTTATCCTCAATAAAATAACTACTTATTTTTAAGTCAATCCAATCTTTTTATATTTATTTTTGTTTAATAAGATACTTTATCCTAAAAAAATATAAAGTAATCTATTCAATAAGAACATTTTTTTAATAAAAAGTAATAATTACACTTAAAAAAAATGAAAACATCTTATATTTTTAAACATATAACCTTTTTAAAAATATTTTATATTTTTTAACAAAGGAATATAATTTATTTTTATATTTTTTTCCTATTTTGTAACATGCTAAAAATTAAAGTACAAAAAACTATCTGTCATTAAATTGTTCTTTACAATTGTTTAAGGGTTAATGAACCAATCATTGTTGAACTTCAAAGTAATCCATTACGATTAAAATAATATAATTAAATTAAAATATATAAAAAATATTCATATATAACCTTGAAAACAATAATATTTAAATAAAAAACCATTATAAAAACAAAATTACTAAACCCCAAATTTGACAGTGTTACTTTTTCATTTTAACTCAACAAATGTTGCAGGCTTGAAAAGAATAAAAACAAAATCCAAACCAATCGACTCATCCAAACCCCTTGACTAAACTGACCTTAATACCGGTTCACTGGTTCCCTAATCTAGTTACCGAACACAGATTGGGTTGTAATACTGTTAAAAACCCACCTAAATAAAAAGATCGGGGAATTAGCAAAAAGACCCCATGGACATAACAATTCCTTAGTTCAAGAATATTAGGAGAATTTCATTAAAAGTCTTTGGATGATACAATATATTTTCTATTGAAGTTACAATTTTTATTACAAATAACATTATTAGAATAACAAATTAGGTTATAATTTTTACAAATATCATAATTGAAATAACAAATTAAATTATACTTTTTTACAAGTAATATTGGTTAAAAAAACGAGCCGATTTACAATTTTATAAGTAATATTAATATAATAATAAGTTAAATTATAATTTTTACAAATAACATTATTAAAATAATGAATCAAGTTATAACTTTTACAAATAATATTATGACAATAATAAAAAATTATATTTATTTTAATAATATTACTTATAAAATCTAAAACTTGACTTGTTATTCGAGTAATATTGCTTGTAAAAATCATACTTTACTTATTTTAATAACAATGCTAATTATATTTAAAAAACATTTTAGTTATTTAATCAAGAGAATTTATTTCATTTCGGTCTTCCAACCTTATAGTAAAATTTCAAAAATTTTTGGGCCTCAATTGAAATTATGTCACATCCAAGGATCTTTAATAAAATTCTCCCCGATAAGGGAAAATTGCATTGAATGACCACTATAGCACCTTAATTATGAAAAAGGATCAAGAGTTATTAATTTACTCTGAAGTCCCTAAAATGACATCCGATAAAAGACAAGCATGCATCTGAAAAATCATAACTATAGTAATTTAACAAGCACGGATGTCGGAAACACCGAGTATAATGGTCTAAAAAGTGTGGTAGTAAAAAAATAACAAATGTATTATTTTGACAAGCATGCATAAACAAAATGATAGATAATCATAACGTCTTAACAAACATGGGGGTGAAAAATAACAAATGTAATATTCTAAAGCGCATGGTGGTAAAAAATGACAAATAACCACAGTTTGACAAGCAGAAGAATAAGAAATAATAAGCATGATGATAAAAAATAACAAGTATAGTTGTTTTCATCTTTTCTCCTTCAATTTTTTTGTTAGATGTCACGTCAGGGATTACAGAAAAAATTCATAATGTTTCGGTCTTTTTCGCAATTAATATGATACAACCGTCCTTTAATACGATTTTCCCTAATAATAACACAAATCAAATTGTCCAAGTCTACGAGATCCCAGAACTTAAAAAACAAGAGGCACAGGATCCCTATGCACAAACAAGATGTACAAGTCTATAAGATCCAAGATCCTGGAAGGAGGATCCTAATTCGTGATCACCATGCTAGTGACAAGAGAAAAAAGCTGCAAATAGAGATGTGGGAATTGGCTTTCACAGTTTCACGTGATAACGGAAGACAAGGGATGGCATCTGAGTCAGACATGACTATTACATAACACTCTAATGGTGTCCAACATGTTTTTAACTGGGGAGAGATACTTAAACAATATATATTACACTCAAGATTAAGAACACGATTGTTTTACACAAATTTAATTTATAAAATCAAGTTAATCAATTAATATGCTTGGCCTTTACACCTTGGAGCGCATAGATATGATAAAATATAATGTAAAAAATTTAAAATACATGAGAAAGTGAGAAAATTTACCAGTGTGTAATTTTGAATTGGAAAAAATTTATATATTTGGTCTTATAGTGATTGTTTCTAATTAATTCATGACATATGAATCTTTTATTTCATGACAAACTCTTATTAATCTTATTAACACATCAAAATCTACTTATTTTAATTTAATTGAATAAAAATATATTAATATATAATGTTAAGTACTTAAGCTTTGCCTTTTTAATGAATGCAAAGAGGTAAATAATTACTATTAAATCACAGATTAATGATTATTGATGATGCAAGAGTTAATCATGCAAATATCAGAACATATTGGTAAACTTGTCATAGAGTCATGATTATGAAAATAAAATCTAAGGAAGAATCCCTTGAAAGTGACTTAACGACTGAAAACCCCCTACAATCTTTTAGCCCGCCAATGGAAGAAAACAAAACAGACCAAAGAGAATCATACAGTGTTCTAGTTCCTCTCTTTCTTCTCTTTTTCTAATTTTTTTTATGTGGATCATTGATAAAAAAGAACCCAAATGCTGAAAAACAAAAATCATAAAAATTGCATAAAGGCAGCAAACAAAGAGAATAAAGCGAGCAAGATCCATCCTCTTTGACAATGTTGATTCAGAAGAAACCACCCAAGTGGGATCATGAAACCTAGATTGGACAGCGATTAAAGTAAAAAGGGTAGCACTAAAAAGTACTAATTTTAGTTAAAAAGGCTATAACCACTCAAACGCGGGTCTCAAATTCAAATTCATGTAAATACCAAAAAAAAAAAAAAGTGCTTTGAAAAAACTACTCCCAATTAAATCTGACAATGCTTAAATTTAATCTAGTTAGATAACTAAGGGGTAAAAAGGGTAGCATAATGGATGAGAATTCATGAGTTTACCTTTTACCCCTTCCTTCACTCTTTCCTACTCCCTCCATTAAAAAATGTAAAGCACTTTCTGAAGAATTAAATGTTCAAAAATGTAAGGCATTTTAAATATTTTGAAGTGTAATCATTGTCTTTTTTTTAAAAATACCCCTACTGATAAGTAATTTTATATTTATTGTAGAGCATTTAATTAGAGTAAATATGAAAAGATAAAGTTAGTTTGAAAGTAGGTAACTATTTTATTGAAGGGTGAGAATCAATTAAAAATGACTTATATTTTTGAACGGAGGGAATATGCCTTTGGGCCCATTTGGATTTCAATTGAGTATAATTAATTATAAAAATAATTGGTTAATATAATTAATTTTAATTATAATTGATTATGTCATAATACAATTTGTTTGGATACTAAAATTGATTTTAACTTTACAAATTACTATAAAGGACATTTCTTTTTAAAATTAAATTATTGATAAAGTTGTATTTAATATGATTAAACTTATTAAACTTTATTTTAGAAGTAAAATATATTATTTAACAGTAAGATTGAATTTATAAGCAACCTCTCAAAACTTATTTCAAAACTTATTTCAAAATGTGATTCTGTCTTAATAATCAATAATCAATAAATTATGCTTCTTACTCTATGGCACATGGTTTCAGAGAAAACCAATAAAACCAATCGAACAAACTCAATGAATTCTTTGGGGAGAGGTACAGACAACAGCATTTACTAGCAGAGAACTTCCTAATATCAGAAATGTGTTCTGAGTAAATATGCAGCAGAATCATACGTGGAAGATTCAGTCCACATTTAGGGGGCCCCAGGAAGTAGGATTCTTAAGGAGATATGTACTAATGTGAATGATTAAGATAAAGCATCCGAAGATCCTTACAGTGATTGCATGTCCATGGCAATAAAGGAGGGTCCAGGCAGTAAGAATGGATTTGTCGAATATGGCAAAGATGGCAACGCATGAGCAGATCCTCAGGTTCTCGCCCCCGGCAAGCAACACAAGCACCTGTCTGTGAAGACTGTATAAAGAATAGAAAAGACGCATCAATACAAAAGAAATTAAGTGTACATAAACTTCCTGTCAAATCCGGACAAAAATGAATAATTCAAACATGTTGCAAAATAATACATAGTTGAAGAAAACGTCTCAGAAATAAACATTATAAAGGTCTAAAGTGGATAGCCTACAATTGGAACACGCCAATAGGATTAACTTTTGTTGACACAATCCCCATAATCGCGAATGAGTTTTTATTTTCAATTTAGTGTGATTAAATTTCGTAAGATTTCAAGCAGCAGTAGACATGTTATAACCTCAATAGAGCCTAAAAAGGCGGGATCAATCATCTCATATATGGCCATTCATAAAATGTTGAAAAAGACTTTAATCTCGTTGATTTTTTTAAAATCTAGATATTCGTTAATGACACATCAACTAACGCTTGAATCTCAATGATTTCAGTAACAACTAACTACTAAACTTCGCTAATACAAAATTTAGTCACTATATTCATAACAAACCAATGCAAAGCCACTCCCAAATGCCAAACGATTCATTTCAGTTATTACCAAAGCAAAAATCCCTGCAGGCAAAACAGATTATTGCCATGAAGGCAAGAAGTTGTGTACACAAATGTTGGGACAGAAAACGCCTAAAAGTTATTCTTTTTTATTAATTGGAAGCTGTCTACTCATATATTATGGCTTGGCAACTTCTTTAATCATATGGCACTGAGCATGCCCCACACGTCACCTATACGCAGTCCATCAGAATGCAAGACATATATAAACCATCCAAGTTAAGCAAAAGAGAATGGCAAGATCATACTAAATTCCTTTAGATCACTCTATTGCAGATTATATATATATATATATATATATTCAGAAACATAAGGTAACAAAAATAAGTTTTTCTACAGCAATTAGATTGTCTGAAATCAGAAGCATAAAGCTGTGAATATTACGAGGGTAAGAATACCTCAAAACCATAATACGGTTGTTCTCGATCCATAAGAAAAATAATATCCGAGATTGGAACGCCGCATGGGATTGTTTGGGAATATATCTTTTGATCCCGGGCTGCATCCTCATATTTAATGATGCTCTCAAACCTTGACTTGCACAAGGGACATGTTGAGATTTTTCCCATTGCAGTCTACAGATATTGACAACCCCTCATAAGAATAAAATTCAAACATAATTAAACTGCTAATATGCTATGGAGGGCAAAAAACCAAAAACAAGGGAGAACATTTGAATATCACATACCATTTATTTTATCAACTAAGTGAATAGAGAGGACATTAGGAATCGCATTTCATTGACATAAATTACACAGTACAATGTTGATGCATATATACACTCACAGGTGACAATCAAGGGATGAGAAATACAGAAAGAAGTCGTATTCAAGTCAGCACCTAATCACTCACTCTTAAGAATTTTACACAAATATTTACCTTAAATATTAAATATTATCACGTGCCTACAAATTGAAATTGTTAACAAATTTTGGTAGAAAAATCAGCATTGTGAATTTGATGGCTCTTAAAATTCTCCAACAAGACATCAGAAGACGTTTGGATTTATGGAAAGCACTTTAGTAGGATCAAAGAAATTGAATTTAGAATTAAAATCAACAGAAAATAATATGCAAAAGAGAAGATTATGGCAACCAATGAAGAGAACAGAAAGACAAACCATTTTTTATTAGCATGATTAAGAGAAGGAAAAAAACAAAAGGAATAGATAATTTACCCTGTGATCAACCCAACTCTGAATACAAGAATAACAAAACCTATGTCCACATGGCAAAACCCCCCGTGTTGAGCTGAATTCCGTCAAACATATGACACATGACAACTCTGTTGAAATAGGTAAATTAGCCTCATTACCATTCTGGATACCATCTGTGAATTTTTCAAAACCATCATCTACTGATGTTTTCTCTGTAGTAAGCAAGGCATCTTGTACGCATAGAGTTGAAATTCTTGAACTTGATAAATCATTTGAATCATTGATTTGTCCAGTGGCATTTGATGCTCCATTGATAGCTATGTTCTGATTATTTGACACAATATCTGATCCTTCTCTGCCTTCTAAAATAATATCAGAAGAGACGCCACCAGAAAGGCTAGAGGAGGCTGCAGCATCGGTATTTAATGTATCCGTTCTGCTAAGGTACTCCTCAGAGCTCAAATCATGTATGGGAGCTGACAATCCTCGAATATTCTTTTTCACAAGCCTTCTTCTGTGGCGAGAAGGACCAGCATTAGTAGCCACCCCATTACAATTGGAGATCTTTCTTTTTGCTGTCATTGACTGTCTGGAAGAAAAAGTTGTTGGCTCCTGCTTTTTAAGAGAAAGGAAGACAATAAGATCAACAGATGTTTTAAAAGAAAAAAAAGTATCCTAAATCACCTGTAAACATATTTCCATGATTTTTCATGAGCATTTCCATCATGTTCCTAGTACACCACCCATGCTTTTAACTGTAATTTCATTTGAGAATGTACCAACATAAATATTCTAAAGCACATGCGTTCAGTAGAGGGGATAAAAGATAGTCAAAAGAACCCGTACAGCTAGTGCATCAGTTTTTTTTACATTCCCTATTTTGCATCAGCTGCTACTGCTTAAAACAAATTCCTTGAGCAGAGTACTCAAGTCAGACATAGGATATGTCATCAGCTTCAGGTAACCACTTCAAGAACCAATGTTTTTGTCAAAATTTCAAAGCAAGAATATTTGTAGCAACACGTAATCAAAGTCTAAATTAATCTACTAAAGCACCATCATAAACATTTCAGAAGATAGGTTGAGAGTACAAATGTACAACTGGAAGTAGCAATTATTAAAAGACAGCAAAGAAAAGGGGAGAGAGATCCAAATCTAATAGATACCTTGTTCATTAAATAAGAAACTTCCCGGACAGAATTTCCAGAAGATCCAGAACTGATATCAGTCGTTTGATTTTTGGAGCCAATGTCATCTGACCCATGATCAAGCACTTTATTCTTAGTCAAGCTACTTGCCTCGACAATAAGTGGAACTTGCAGCAATATTAGCCCCACTTCTTCTCCACTGCAAGAAAGTAGAACCTAAGGACAGCTTAGTTTCAAATTCTACAGATGTAACTAACATCAAAATTATTTTTTGAACTTCAGAATTTATTATGTAATAGCTTTAAACCACAAAATAGTAGTTTTGAATCATCTCAAAGCCAAATGAGTCGTGTCAGATTGAATCAATTTATGAACTTTCAATTGTCATTTCAATGTTTCAGAGGTGATAGTGGATGCTGAAAACGATTTTGAATCATCAAGATTCAAGTTTTCCTTTTACTGAAGCAGAAGCCATAGTTCATTATTCTCTAATGAGAAGAAAATATCAAATTCACCTTTTCGATCTATAAGGTTCCTCTGGAACACGCCTTCCTTGCTTTAAGCAGTCTTCAATCCACTGGTGATTTATTATAACTATTCTGAATTTCCGAGCAAGATTATATTTCTTTCCTTCAAATCGCCAACAAATCTGACCATTTTCAACAAAATCAAAAACCATGAACCATCAACTAGTTTCTCCAACTAAATACACAAGCAACTATTCCTCCAGAGACTTGTCTGTTTATTGTCCCGCAGTCTATAATTCTTTGCTATTCCTATTGAATTCATCTCTTACGTTCATTTGTTTACTTCTGATTTTTTCTTTTTCAAAAAGGTATACTAACCAGGTGCGTGATTGATTTTGACATTGCGCCAACATAATTCGCACCAGCATTTGTAATCAACTTAATAAGGTTGAATCGCTCTGTTCCATGGTAACCACTCACTGTAGCCACCACGGACTCCATACCTTGAATTGGAAATGAAATGGATCCTGTAAAATCGTGGCATTAATATGATGCCAGTACAAACAGCAAAAAATCATTATCATGAATGAGACAGCCCAAAGAATAAATTGCTGAAACGTGAAAACCAAATAAATAACCTCAGACCAGAAAGAGTGCCTTATAACCAAAATCCTACGCTGAAAATGAAAAAAAAATGAACGGCGTCTATCAAGACGAGAATCCGCCTAACCTAGAACAAATATTTTTCGAAGAAATCACCGGAATTTTCAGTTTCATTTCCCTAGAAAGCCTCAATTCAAAACGAAAAAGAAAACTACGAAGGACTGCATTTTCCCTTTCGAAAGCTTTCTCTTCTACTACGACCAAATTAAAAGCCCTACGAAGATAATCCCTTCCTGATGAAATTGAAATTGAATAAGAGATGCCATGGACTGAGACAGAGAAAAGAGATAATAACCTTGAGGTTGCTGTCGAAGCTGATCTTCTTCCATGCTATTCCAGAATCAGTATTGTGCCGGGAAACCGAAAATTTTAAATCACAAAGGAGCAGAGGGTATTTATAGAACCCGAAATGTCGACGTCGGCTTTCAACGGGTCCGGTTTTGTCATTCAAATCAGGTAGGAACCGGTTTGAAAGGAATTTTTTATTTCTTTTTCCCATATAAAAAGCCAATAAAAGGCAAGCCGGACGAGCTTATTTTGGAAGTATTGGGAGCAAATTTAAAGTATTTTATCTTATATAAAAAATTTATATAATCAAATTTAATTTTAATACTTTCAAGTTTTAGGTTTACAAATACCAAATTTTTTCTAAAAAATATTTTTTTATTTTTAAATCAATTTTAATTTTGAAATAACTTTATTAATCATAAAATATTATTCTGACTTATTTAAAAAATAATAATTTATCAACCTTATATATTATTGTTTCGTTATATTATATGTAATTTATTTATAAATATTTTTTTACTTGTAAATTAATGTATTAGTTGTTTAAATATTACTTTTACCATAATCATATATAAATATTTTATATATTTTAATTAAATTATAATATTTTAATTATTATCAAGTTAATATTATTTCAATCATAATTAGATTACTAACTTAAAATTATTACCTCAATTAGTTTAAAGTTTTTAACAATTTTTGGGTAAAATGTATTTTTTATTTTTAAGAATATGAAAAAAATAGTGATCATTGTATTATATAAATTAAAATCGTTTAATTATAAAAAAATACTATTTTTAATTATTTTTTATAAATTTTTATATTTTTTAATCCTTACATATGAGGAGTATTTATTCTAATTTATTCTTAATATTTAATCAAGTCTTACGTGGACAATAATCAAATAATTATTTAAAAATATTATTCTATTTATTATAGTTATCTAATAGTAGAGTTAAGAATTTTTACATGTCTAAATTTTATTTTAAAAATATTTTAAATTTAAATTTTTACTTTAAAATTAATTATCTTATTTTGTAACAAATACAAAATATATTTTTTTGGATACTCAAATGATATACAAGACTCAAAACTTTTTTAAAAAATAAATGTGTCTTCAAATATAAAAATAAATATTAAAATATATTTTAAATATTATTTTGAGATATTTTATTAATAAAAAATAATAAAAATATGAAAGTATAAATATTTTTTATTTTTTAAAAAATAATTATAGTAATAAACTCAAATATATAATATTTTAATATAAAATGGCATAGAAGTCAAATAATTAATTAATATTTATTATATTTTATATTTTTTAAAAATATTATTTTTATTCTAATATTTGGGTTAAGCAGGAATCTGATTAAGCTAGCTTAAATTTTTTTTGAGCCTATTCGAGTTAACTCATATAGGCATGAACATTAAAAAATATTTTTTTGGCCCAACCCTAAATTTTTTAGGTTGGTTTAGGTTGACCTATTGAGCATGTCTAAAATGCCGGCTCTATATCCTTGTAAATAGTAAATAAATGGCTGAAAAGAATAATATAGATTAAAAAATAAATTAAAATCTAAATTATACAATTGTTTCATTATCCTTTCCATCAACTCCAAAATTTGAGTCATATACAGATAATTTACCTGGCTTTTTTTTAACCTGAATATTTAGTTATTTACATGGCTTTAAAAAACATCATAGTAAACACTTTTACATTTTCTTATTTATGCAATTAACATTTTGTCATCATGAAATCCACTATATTGCTTATGAAGCGTGATATCTAATTAACATTCGCAATATACCTTAAACTTCATTTTTTTTTCAGAAAAAGTTTTTTTTTTAATTTTCAAACTTTGAGTTGATGTGATTTAATCCCTTACATTTAATTTATATTTATATGAAGGGAAATTTTTTATTAAAAAATTTAGATCAATTGGATCTTGATTGTTTTAAAATCAAGGCATGTCTCTAAACTCAAATAACACTTATAGAGATACTTACAATCAGCCACTAACAAGATTTTCATATTAAGAGTAGTATTTGAGTTCACAATTTTGTGAATTATGAGCTAAATTTTTATAATTAGATCAATAGTTGTTCATGCTATTATCTGTATATACATAATTTGAGAGTTTGGAAAATATGTATAACTACATAGCTGGACTGGTGCATCCATAACAAACTGTAATGTTGAGAGCTAATGAACTTATGGCTCTAGCTCTACACATTTATTTAATATAAAGATTTATTCTTTAATTATTACATTTTAAAATATATTGTTATATATATATATATATATATTAATATAGAATGATGGATGTTTAATTTAATTGGAAACCATTAGCACTTGGATTAACTAATAAAGGTTGTTTTAACTTAACAAGAAGTCTCGAGTTTGAGTCTTAAAAATGTAACAATATAAGTGGCCAAGGATGCTTACCCTTATAATACTTGTCATACCTCAATCTAGATTAGTTTGGATCTCATTAAGTTTTCATAACTCAAGTGAAGCATGCCCAGGACACCGAGTGCTCAATAATTTAATGGAAAAATATAAAATTACTTGGAAAACAGCCCATATTTTTTTTACCGTTATTGACAATTATATTTATTAATTTTTACTTCAAAATATGAGTACAGAAAAATTAATCTTTTTAATTGTTTTATTTGCTACCTTCTAAAATTAAATTATTATATTTTGTGGCCAAGTTTATCTCATTTCAATTCCTCTTCCATCTAATATGAGAGGCTTCACGTTTACGCTCAAAATTCGCCCTCCTTATCAATTCAGGTTTTTAAATAAAAGCTAAAAATGATTCCCGCGCACATGATTAGTCATATTTTTTTGAAAAAATTATGTATAAATTTCGTGGAACAAAGTTATTTACTAATAAATTTTATGAAATTTAAAAACAATAACCAAGTCCCTTAAAATTTGAATGTAATTTGAAATTAGATTATAAAAACAATAATGCCTCTATCAAATATATATTATATCAATCAAATAATTAATTTACAACTACTTCATCAATAATTTACAATTATAATTTTAACTTTTATAACTGTAACTTCATATATCCAATAGTTAAACAATCATGTGTTTTTAACAAAATTTAACATTAATTTTTTTTTCAAATTAATATGAATTGTTTATAACTATTTTACTAGTAATTTATAATTATAATTTTAACATTGTGCAAATGTAACTTCATATATTCAATAGTTAAATATAAAATTACAGTTGTAAAGTGTTGAAGTTATAATTATAAATTACTGATGAAATAGCTATAAATTATGACTGATGTAATGTACATATGTTTAATATGGGTATTATTATCTTTTTATTTTAATTTCAAATCACACTCAGGTTTCAAAAATCTAATTATAGTTTTTAAATTTTATGGCACTTAAATAAGTCTACTTTATGAGAGCTATATGTAAAAGCGCGCGCGCACAGTATGTTATCAAAAAAAAAAAACAGTATTCCCATTATTAAAAAACATTGTTTTAATTGAACGGCATATACTATTTTGTGTTTCTTTTAATATTTCACAAATAAATGGTAGCATATTGATTTATGTCTCGCCTATTAACTGCATATAATTTGATAGTCACTCTCTCAAACCACCCAGAGATTATATTAATGGTCCGACACTTATTTAACTAAAAATACAAAATTGAAACTGATATTATTTTTTAAATAAAAATTAATCACGTTATTAAATCTCGTGTTTCACTGTGACATCGTGTAAATCCTCATTTTCAATCATATTAGCTCTCGTTGGACGAAAAATAAAAGTATCAGCTCCCTTTCAATATTTCTTCCTCACTCGTAATAGATATAGGAATGCAATTGTTTCGGTCTATTGTTCTTTCATCATCCCCACCTGTTTGGTGGCATAGAAAAAGTCGATGAAAAAATTATAGGAGAATAATAAATAAAGAATTCATAAGAAAATTAATAATAAATAATAAATTTTTTTTAAAGATTTTCGTACACGTGAGAAAAAGTGTATTGAATTTAAAAGCTTTACTTGTGAAAAAATCCTAAAATAATATTAATGTTTTTACAAGATATTTATTTATCATTTTTCCAAAATCAGTGGAGGGCATATTTGGGAGTTGCTCTGCTTTCTCTTTGATTATATTGTGCTCATCCTACGCTCTTGAATCAACCAGAAAAATGAAATTTTCTTCATCAGCCATTACTTTAATTAAGGCAAGGTTCAATCCATGGAGAAATTAAGGAGCTTGCAATAAGCCGTGGAACTTTAAAAATATCTTTTTAAAGGGAAAAAAATATATCGAGAAGTTTAAAAAGGAAAACAAACCTTGAATTATGAAATCTCAATAATAAACTATAATCTTTATTAGCAATTAAAAAATATAAATAATCAATTGAGAAATTAACTAAATACATTTGAGATTATTTATAATGTCTATTAAAAAATTATAAAAGTCAATTATGAATATATATATATATATATATATATTTTACTATCAATGCACTAACAAACCACTTAAAAAATCAAGTAACCACATTTAAAATTATTTGTCACGTTATTTAAAAGTTTACAATAATTATGAATTATAAGCCAATCATTTATAATTTTTTTGTTGTCAATATATAAATAAATTGCTTGAAAAATTTATTAAAAATAATTAAAATTATTTGCAACATCAATTAAAAATTTACAAAATATTAATTGCAATAGCAAGTCAATAACTTATAATGTACTATTGCTTAGGAAGTCTTTGTGGCATTAATTAAAAATTTACTAAATTTCATTCTGAATCTCAAGCTAATTAACAAAAAATAATTTATCACAAATAAAAACCATAAATTATTATTATAATTTTAAAAATTCAAGATCTACAATTATCATTAATATTCATTCTTTTTTTTTTGCAGCAAAATATTCTTATAATATTCTAATTGTCATTTTCCTAAGAAAAAATTGGATTTAACATAGATGCAAAAATTTAACCACAAATTATTTTCTGAAGACCACTTAATAACATATATTATAAGATAGTGCGAAGTGAATCATGAACTAATAAAATCAGAGCAACAGGCACCTCCCATTTATTTTCAACTAACATCCTTCTATTTGACCAATTGTTTGACTTGAAAAAAAAAATACCAAGCCACATGTCATCAATTCATTTGATCCCCTCATTTGTCGAAAAAAATACCTAAACTATGAATGAAGTCAAAATTTTGAACTTCAAGGCGTGAAGGTTCACATACCTTCCGCCTCTCACCACAGCCCCAACTTCATGGCGTGAAGGTTCATATACTTCAAGCTATGAAATAGTCAAAATTTTGAACTTGAATTTCCTTCATTTTCATGCTTACTTTGTGAATCTTCTGTGCAATGAGATTGATATCTTCCATCAATCTCTCTTTATTGCTTCAACAGAGACTCTAAAATTTCGTACAGTATAATTATTTATGCTCAAAACAATATCTGAAGGTGATTATTGAAGCAACCACGTTTTTAAAAAATTATGCTTGTCATGTTCCATCAACAACAGAGACAGAGAACAGTGGAGAACATGGCCTCCTGTCGCCGTAAGCAAAAAGCAACCTCGAAGCCGAGGAAGCCAGTGGCGCAACAGCATATGCCAAACTTCCAATGACCAGCAGCTCCGCCACAACACGCTCGACCATGTCTGCAGCACCGACCTTAGGGATTATATAAAGATACAGAGACCCAAGAAAGTACAAGCACTCAAACAAGATTAAATCGATTCAAAATCCAAATTTGTTTAACCAAGCGAATTCAAAACCAGTGTTATTTTAAATAGTGAAGCACAAAGATTTGATCTCCGTGTTATCCACTGGAATCATTTTGCTGCAATGAGGAGGCAAGGGCATTGATCTGGCCAAAAGGTAAGACACGGAAGAAAGAAAGAAAAGAAAGAACAAACCGACAGAGGAAAAGGTGAAGAGGGAGAGGGAGAGGTAGAGAGAGTGAGAGAGAAGCTAGAGGGTTAGAGAGAGTGAGTGAGGATCGGGGAGTGAGGGAGAAGATGTAAATGGGCCCCACAGTACAAAATAAACGGAGATACCCATTGGTCCATTTTAACAATTCAAGATTTATTTGGCACGTCATAGCATAAGCTAGTCACTGATTCTCAAAAAATAATTCATAATTAAATTTATATATTTACCATCGGATTTATCACCATCAAATTGTAGGCTGTATAATCTTAGGTTCATCTCTGATATATACATGTCAACATATAAGTTAAATCCTTATTATATATTAACTATAATTTTAACTATAATTAATCAATTGATCTCTATAATTTTAACTCAATTATAATACAATTCCAAACTTCAACTAGTTAAAACTCACTTCTTATAGTTTTAAGCTTTAACTCATTGAAATTCAGTCCCTTTAATTTTGACTTAATAAAACAATCCTTATATTTTAACAACTCAATCCCTATAATAAAGGTTAAAAAAAAATCCTTATAATTTTAACAATTTAAAACACGAGTCCTTCAGTGTCAAGAAATAATTTTAGGGGAAAATGACAATTAAGAATCTCATAAGACCATTAATTACAATTAGATACCTTAAAACCATGATCTTTACTTGAAAATTAGAATTAAAAACACAAGTTCACAAATTTGCCCTCAAATTTCACTTAGAAAATTAAAAAAAAAAACACTACTGAAATTGCTATTATGAATTAGAATTATTGTTAACCTTAATTGAGAAAACAAATATCCACACTTAAAAATGGGTTGTTTCCTGGTACAATACTAAAATTCACTTGTGAAATTTTTGAAAGACATTTGTGAATATACAATAATCACTTAAAAATTTACCATAATTGCTTTTGAATATAAAACCAATCATTTGTGAATCTTTATGCTAACCACTTGGAAAATCAAGAAAATGTACCACTAAAATTACTACCATGGATTGAAACTATTGTTAATCTCAATTAGAAAAACAAGATCCTAAATATTATGGGTTGGGAATTGGGACTACTAAAATTACTATTAAAGGTTGAAATTATTGTTAATTCTATTTCCAAGTATAGATCTTAGTTTTTCCAACTAAAATTAATAATTGTCTAACATATAATAGTAATTTCAGTAGCATCTTTTCCTAATTCTCCAAGTGAGACTCGATCAACTGTTTTAATTCCAAGTAAGAACCATAATTTATTATTGAAATTTCAATAATTCAAAGTTCCTAATTATGATTAATGGTCTTGTGAGGTCCTTAATTGTCATTTTCCCTAACTTTAGCCCTTATAATTTTATTTTTCTAAAATATAAAAACCAATATTGTAAATGAATAAAGCTACAGGGACTAAGCTATGTCAAGTCAAAACTCAGAGACTAAATTTCAACCGAGTCAAAAATTGTAGAATCCAAGTAATATTGAATCAAAGATCAAAGACTTAGTTTTAACTAAAACAAAATTGTAAAAACTAAATGATTAATTTTTTCAAAAAAATAACTACCTATTCTTTGCTGCATACCAGCATGGATTCCAAATGAAGGTTGTCCTTTGAAGATTAACTTTACATACACACATACACATACATGATAGTGCTTCTGTTAAAGGTCACAGTAAACAAAAGTGGACTTGTGTAAGAAATCAGTTCGGTCATCAAAGATCATAAATGCAAATTTTTATCATTACATCACAAAGAGTGGACGCAGTTTGGCACAATTTATTAAAACATCTAAATGGAGCCGCATGCATTGTGCATAGCCTAATAAGCAGGCAATATTATTCATGACCTATAATAATGCAACTCAAGTTTTTTAAAATACATCGTACATTCCACCAATCAGTAGAAACTAACCAACTCTACGTGTGCATCCACATGGAAGAACAAACACTTTCATGTCTTCGATCCTAGTGAAAAGGGCTATAGCCACTTAAGAATGAGATTATTGGGTTCGAGTCTGGTGAATGCAAAAAAACATCTTTGAGAGTTGCTTCTAATTTAGCCCAGCAATGGTCGAATCAAACCCAGTCAAATAGTAATTAAAAAAAAGCTCATCCTTGAGAAATATGTAATGATTGTAATAAGCGACTACATCTGGTTGAAAAGATCGGAGATGAACCACCTATCCCATTGATTAGCATATTTCAGTTCAATAAGGACTCGTAAATTTAATTTTGCAGATAATTATAATTGGGGGTGAACAAAAAGTCACGTAATCTAAATGTACCTTTCTTTTTGATTCGTTGCAGGCACGTGTCGTGCAATATTTCAAGCAAAATTCTTCCACCCACCCACAAGACATTCCTAATGAAAAAGCATCCCAATAAAATCGCTTGAAGGGGACTGCACTCAGAAACAAGAACCAGAAGATAGCATTAGGGCCAATATCAAGTAAAACTACAAATCGTGGCCACAAGGGAATGCATTCCCTAAAAGACAAACAAGTGGATTCTGCATTCTGCACTGCTTCAATCTAACCCCATTGTGCAAATTTCTACATGCACAATGAGTTAATGTCCAAAAAGACTTTGCTCAATAGTCACTAACCATATTGCAAATTTATTCTTTTGCAGTATAAACAATTTCATGTCAACTAGAACTCAATGCATAATCAAGGTCAAATACCAATTACAAAAGGCTAAAATCCAGAACCTTTCAATACAAGAAAATTTGGGAGATTTGCAGGCACTAAGTTCAGGTCTATATTGGGTTTTTCAGAATTTCAAGACATCAACAAATGTTGATAAAAGCTATACATGCTAATTATATGCTCCAGGGCTTTTTTATTTTCTGTGATTAACTTGATTTCAAAATTTAAACATGAACTCCAGGAAAAATTATCTGCAAATGTTCCACTGCAATATATGGTAAATTTGTTATCACATAAAAATTTCAGAAAAAACTGTAATGACCGTTCAACTGATTTCCTACTCAGAAGCATCAATTTGTCAGGAGAACTTTGCCCAGAGTCAGAGAACTCATTTGGGCCTACCTTAGGCATCTGCAATGATTCATGCTGTAAGATGCGTCTTGTTGATAACTGAATCAATAAACGTCAAACCAGTATTGAAACATTGAATTGATTAACTGTAACTAACTGTTTGTAACCATATTTGATAGATAGACATAATCTGAGAAAGCATGAAACAACTTCTACATAGATAGATCATATCGAGCCCGTATACTTCCCCCAGGAACATGTCAAAGTGCAATCCTCATCCCTTGAATTTGCTCATCAAACAATCTACCGTTGAGTTGCTCACAACAACCAAAATTCCTTATGACATATGACATTTATTTTCTTTGTACTATAATATTAAAAATTTGAGATAGAAAATAATAAATTAAAATCATTTGCATTCTCTGAATTAATGCATCACCAGTGATGTAACAAGCACAACAAATAAGAGAAACTGCAACGATGAAGGAGCAAAGCTAAAACCTATTCCCTAAGTCCTCCAAGACAAAAGCCTGACCAAAACAAACAAAAGATTAAGGAAACATAGTGACATGATAAAATTACAGACCGAGTTCTCAACTTCTCATCATAATGGGATTATTATATCATCAATCTAATTCATCAACTCAATGTATAAATCCAGCAAAGCGATCAGAATATCAGAATACTAAAAAATAAGGAGCCTAACAGCAAATATAGCATAGTTCCTTTTACTCCTACTACAACTGACAGTTAATGAAAAGAATATGGATAGTTGTGAGGAGATCCAGTAAGCTATTTCCTGTCATTTGTGCTTATAAGTTATACAAGAGAGATACATATTAAAACCCAAACTTGGTCATAAATTCCAAAATATATATACATATATATTATTCTGTATCTTACATTACCATTACTAAGTCTAAGTGAAGGTTAAAAATAGGCCTTAAAAAGACGAAGAAGCCTCACAGAAGAATATAATTACATGAGAGAAGGATAAGAGAGCCTCCTAAATAAGTAAGAATCCAAAAAGGGGGAAATGACAAAAAGGAAAGATAAAAACAAGAACTTGACAAAATAAATATGCAACTGAATCCCCACTCATATTAATCAAATAGATTCCCCGAAAAATTCTGAAAAGAACAAGGGAATCAAGATGCAGGAACCCTTCCCATTAGTCGTTTAGAGCCATCAAGGTGCCTTTAAAAATTTCTAGCATTCCTTTCTAGTCATACATGCCACGCAAATAAATATGCTATAAACTATCAGCCCAACAAATAATTGGATAACAATGCCAGAGGCTACATGGATGTAATTAATGAAAGAGACACACGCACCACACAAATACATGACCTCTTAGTACCATGAACAGTAAAAATTACATCCAGACCAAAATATGTATAAATTCATAAGGGCAAATGCAACTGAGGCGAGATGAAACTCACATGATTTTCAGGTGAAATGAAGGAAGATATCAGAGGCAGTACAAAATTATTTGTTTGCCAAAAATTCAAGGTCAATTACAATAATAAATTATAATATGAAATATTCCATATGACACATCCTATAAGGACTAATAAATGAGAGTAGGTTCCCATATCATCTATTAACTTACAAACACCTCATTATTGTTGTTTTGAGATTTTGACCACTGTGGCTTAACATCAGAGGATACCTAAAATGATGACATCTCTTCTCCTACTTTAAAAGAAAGCGTGCATCACCAGGAACGTCCTGAACTTCCAAAATCAAGCTGCCATCCGTTGAGGGACTTGTAACTGCTGCTGACTTGATTCCTCAACATGAGGAGGGAATTCAGAAGGGGGCTGATAAGGTCTGACTGCATCAACTGATGGTCCAGAGACTGAATGATTTGATGGTGAAATTTGAGCTGCTTCCCCGGAACGTGGATAATGTTGTCCTGCCATTGGGCATAGAATTAAAAATTAAAAATTAAAAAACAATCATGTACAGTATCTTGCCAAATTGTTTTGAGTAAATTAACTCGTAAGGAACTATTAATCCAACTGATTATTCGGGAACCCAAGTAGCTTGTGGAACAGTACCTGAGGGTGCATAATATGGTGGTGATGTTTGAACTTGCTCCCCAGATGATGGATAATGTTGCCCTGCAGGATGAGGTGAAATCCTTGATGCAGGCATATGAGGGCTAGACATTTGATAAGATCCACCCCATGAAGGTTGATGTGTACCTATCATTTGAGGCTGTGGTTCTTGCTGCTGTCCCATCATTGGAGATGGAGGTGCAGAAGGTGGTCCTGCAGGATGCGGTGGAATTCCTGATGCTGGCATATAAGGGCCCATCATATGATGAGATGCACCCCATGAAGGTTGATGTGTTCCCGTCATTTGAGCAGGCTGCGTGGGGTGCATCTGTCCTCTCATTTGAGAAGGAGGCACAGAAGACTGGTTCTGTGGTCCTGTCATCTGAGGAGGGTATTTTGCTGCTGGTGGAGGTGGTGGACGGTATGGAGGCCTTGGTCCAGAAGGACGAGGATTGTGTGCCCATCTATTCATGCCAAGAAGTCTCTCAATCTCCTCACCCCTCCCAGCTTTCCCAAAAACCTCAGTTACAAATTCCTTCAATGCAGGAGTCACCCCCACACCATACCGCATCACTTCATCCAGCAAATCACGGCCTTTGTCCAATAAACCTTCACCACAGAGTCCCATTATAACAACCTCATAGCAAGAAGGTTCCGGCTTGGGATCTTTTTCTCCCATCTTACTCAAAATCTGTGCACTATCAATAGCTTTGCCATTCTTGATCAATTCATCAAATACCCTATTACCAAAGCTAGCAACCACCCTCAGACCAGCATCCACCATTCTGTTAAATACCCTCAAAGCATCATCAATCCTTTCCATTTTCAAGTAGGCCTCAATCAAAGTCCTATGGGTTGGCACATCCGGGCTTAGTGATTTTGAACACAATTCTTCAAACAGAGTTTCTGCCTCTGATAACATCCCATTCTCACAACATCTGGAAATGATATTATTGTAGCCTGCAACATCCATGGCAAAAGGCTTTGAATTTGCTCTTGTCCCGACCTTCTTAAATGTTGAAAGGGCTTCCGAAATCTTACCAAGCTTAAAACACTCATTGACCATTATATTAAATGTATCCGAGTTAACAGCTTGGAAATTTGGAGGGGTGTGGTTGTCTAACATCTGATCGAATAAAGCCCAAGCCTCTTTTTCTCTACCATGCCTAAGCAAGACCTCCAATAGAACATTGCAAGTTGCTGGAATCATCCTAAACTGTCGATCCATTAATGACTTGTAGGATTCCATAGCCTCCTTATCTCTCCCCTGATTGAAGAACCATTCCATGTAAGTTGCGTTAACAACTCCATCATACACCAAACATCTCTCCTTAAGCTCATCAAATAGCTCATTCGCCTTCTCCAAATTTCCCAAGTTTAAAAACCCAGAAATCAAGTTATTATAAACCAAAGAATCTGCACCGTGCCCTTTATTTAACATTTCACGCAAAAGGTCAACAGCTTCACCTATGCGACCAGCATCAATCAATCCTTTGGTAAGGTGTCTATAAGTCACTGGAGACGGGCTGAATGGCGCATTCGCCATGATATGGCGATAAACCTCAAGCCCCACATCAACTCGACCCTCATCACAATGGGTGTTAATCAAATTATTGTAAGATACAATATTGGGCACTATATTGGACTGGTTGAAGAAAAATTGAAACAGAGAAACGGCATCGTTATACCTCTTCGCCCGGTACATGGCAGCTATGATGGCATTGCAAGTGAAAACAGTGGGCCGCGTCCTAGAGAAAACAGAGTGACGTGCGACTGCAGAGGCAGCATCGAGGTCACCGGCGCGAATAAGAGATTGGACTCGATTGTGTAGGCTGAGGCGCGGTCCAACCAGTGCAGAAGTGGAGTCAGGTAGGCGTGGTGCGTTAGGATCACGCGAGAAAGACTGCTGCGGAGGAGGGCGAATCGCATTCAGGGGCGGCTCGATACGGAGGCGACGCTTCCGGCGTCGACGCTCAGCAGCGGCTTCTTCGGCGGAGGAGAACGCAAAGGCACGGCTCTGTGAGATTTGGAATGGGTTTATATTAGTCTCGAAGTTCACACATTGGGTATGGTGAAGATGGTTTTGGGAAGCGAGTTCGGAGGTGGAGAAACGGCGGAGGGAACGGATGAGAAGGCGGTATAGCGACATGGTTTCGTCGGAAAAGAGGTAATGAGTGGCGAGGGATCGAAACGATAGATAAACCCTAGCAAGCCAGAGGTTTTTCGGAGAAGCCGAGAAAATGACTCGTAAATAGTACAGTAGTTAATTTAATTATTAATTATGAATTAATTAACAATTAATTTCACGGGATTTTGGCAAAAAAATAAAAAAGAAAGAACCTACTTTTTCACCGTAAGTTTGAGTCATGTGCTCATTTTTCAAGACATCGTCGATGTTTTTTCCACGATAAAATAGAGAGTAGCAGTAGCAGACACCGTTCTTTTTCTTAGTTTACTGCAACTTTTACATGTTTTCCAGTTTCCAGTGTAGCTTTCATTTTTTTTATATAAAAAGATCAAATATATTTAAAAAAGTAAAAAGATAATTTTCAACAATATAAATTTCTGAACTAAGTTTAGAGGAGGGAAATTAAATATAGCAGTGACAAATGAAAAGGAAGTAAATTAAAAAATTAAAAAATTTAGGGTAAGCATAATTTTTTGTCCTTATATTTTACTTGCATTTTACTTTTAATCTCTACACTTTTTTTAATATTTTATGTCTTTATATTTTTATTTTTTATTATTTTAAATCCTTTCAAAATCTCTATACTTTATTTATAAAAAGATAAAAAAATAATAAAAAATAAAAATGTAGGATCTAAAATATCAAAAAAAAGTATGAGAACCAAAAGTAAAAAACAAGTAAAGTACCTACTCAAAAATTATGTTTACCCAAAAATCTATACCATAATTAAAAACATTTAAAATCAAATATCTTTGTTGGAGAGTCTAGAAAAACTTTATAGCAAATTATATAAAAAAGGCAGGATCCAAGGAAATTATATATAGATTGTTGTTGATAATTCACAAAAGCATCAAATGATGACAAATAGGATTGAAATATTTTGGATATCGTTGCCAAAAGAAAAATTACTTTTGCCAAATGAAAACTTGGCAAAAAACTAGGTCTTTTTTTTTTAGCCGAAAAAAAAAACTATGTCTTTTCCTCTTATACTTTTTAATCTAAATCTTTCATCCCTTGTAATTAATCAGAGAACGAGAAAGAAGTACGTTACCAATTTCATTTCTTGAATGAAGATAATGAGACATCTAAAATGTAAGACCATGGACAAATATTAGTTAAATGGTGAATAATGCTAGCAAAATCATTGATTAAGTGACTTCATTGTAAAAAGCTGCATTCCTCTTTTGCCAAATCAAATTTAGTAGAATAATGATTTGCAAAATGATATCAATCTGCCCTTCCTTGTTAAAAATAGGGAGCACAGCAACCAGGGAATCAAGCTAATCTGAGCAATATTTGAAGATCTAATGGATAGGACTCCAAACCATTATAGCAAAAAGACATGAAAAGAAAACATGATCTAAAGATTCATTCTCAAGGCATTCAGACACACAATGAGATGCAGTGTTGAGATGATGATCTTGCAAAATATTTCCAATGGGCAATGTTGAATCAATCAATTTCCAAATAAATAATAAATATTTTAAAGGCAATTTCAATTTTTAGATAAAAATGAGACCATCAAGGTCTAATGCAAGAAAAACTCCAAAGAGTGCCCAAAAACTATTATATCCCATCTTCATAGTATAAGAGTTATCAGAACTAGGTAATCATGGTAAGAGAAAATTATAAAAAAAAAAATACAAAAAACTCTCAAGAATAATAATAAAATTATTATTATTTAAAAAAATTCTTATACTTTTCTTTTATTTATATTTTCTCCTTACTTTTTCTTCTATCCAAATCTACGCCTAAAATGGCTCTAAGTCAACTCAGCCACAGTTTCTTTTCTTTTTCCTGCTTCCTGTTTACCTATTGGCTAGTGACTTTACTTGTGTTTCGTTTTAATTCGTTAGTATATTTGACTTTCCTTAAAATAAAAAAAGGATAGTGACTGCAAGAAAATAAGAGAATCAAGATATAAATGTTTGAAAATAATACAAGTTGAGTAATTAAATTTTAGCATATTGAATTTAATTATTCATATTTCTACAATTTAATATTTCAATAAAAAATTTATAAAAATAAATATGAATTATTCAAACGTTGATTTTTTTAATGCAATTCAACTGTTGATTTTATGGTTAGAAAACAAAAAGGAGGATAATCTCTTCTATTAATGAAACTTATTTCATATGCCAAACAGAGAAAAAAGAAAGAAAGAGGGAAAGATGATGAGAATAAAAGAGGGAAGAAAAATCTCATTTTTTTTAAATGAAAGTAAACTTAATTAAAAAAAATAAAAGGGTAAAGGTATACTTTTATCCCTAAAGTATTTTTTGAGAAGCACTCATCACCCTAATAGAAAAGAAATCATGTTAAAATAATTTTGCCTTTAATGTTATCAAAACGGATCATATTTGCCCTTTCTGTTAAAATTTTAATATTGATCTTAAGTATTGACCATTAAAAAATTTGATGGAGAGAGTAAAAATGCTTTGTTTTGATAATGTTAAGGGCAAAATTGCTCTAACAAAAATATTAAAGTGTTGGGTGCTCCTCAAAAAATACGTTAGGGATAAAAATGCACTTTTATTCAAAATAGAAAAGGGATCACAACATTGGCCCAAAGAAATCAAATTCCTAAAGGGTCTATTTGGTTCAATGGGAGGATAGAAAAGGGTAGCGGTTTTAATAGAGGGGATGAAAAGGTTTTAATATTACCTTATTTTATTCAAGAGGGAAGAAGAGAAAAGATAATTATAAATAGATAAATTTATCTTTATATTATTAAAATTATTTTTCCAATAAAATATAGTTATGAATGTTTTTAAATTATAAATATATAGAATAACTATTATTGTTAAATATATTATTAAAAACCCAACATTGCTAAATTTGTTTAAAAAAATAAAAAGTAACAATTAAAAGGGAGACTATATTAGTTATTATGTAACAAAATTATATCCTACCTTCCCAGTCCCCCCAATTTTGAGAGAAGAAGAGGGGAAATTTTTTTAAATTTTTCCTCTCCTCCTCCCACTTTTTTAGGGAGGGAGTCTCTTCACTTTTTTTCCCTTCATTTTCCCAATCCACACCATTTATTAATTTTATAATTAAAAAATATTTAATAAAATAATTTGAATGATGAGGATTGGGAAAATGGAGGGGAAAAAAGGAGAGACCCCTCTCCACACTTTCCCAAACTAATTAAGGGGAGGGGAGCAAAATCCCTCCCCTCTTTTCCTCTCTTCCCAACCAAATATTGCCTAAAGTTAAGAGAGTATAGAGGAAAGATAAAACCAAGCCCACTATAACTTGGACCTTCAACAGACACAATTTTTTTTTATAACAAAAAGGATAAAACCCAAGTTACAAGAAATTAAATATCAACAACACAAAGGGACTGAAGTCCCATACAATCTTTAAAAACAAGGTCCTTCAAGAAAAGGGGGCTAAATCAAACAGAGAAGAAACCAAAATTCCTTCCTTAGCTAGTAAGTCTGCAACCATATTCATCTTTCGATGAATAAAATTAATGTTCACTCACCAGTCATATTGGAGGATTCACTTAATTTCTAACAAAACAAGACTTCCGTTAAGCAAATTCATAGATTCTCCATTTAGTATCTCCACCAAGTTCTTGCAATCAAATTCAACAACAATCTTCTTGAAGTCCATATCCCAAGCTAATTTAAGACTTCTAAACATGGCCCATTCTTCAGCCTCATAAGGGAAGCAAATACCAAGGGAAAAGGAGAAACCTACAATCCAAACTCCTACACAATCTCGTAGCACACTACCATATCTTGCCTTACCCGAAATAGATGACATAGCACCTGTATTGAATTTGACCCAGTCCTTTGGGGGTGGTCTCCAACATATATCCCAAACTCATCATCATTATTATCCAGAAGAGATTCATCTTGAGTAGTGACATAGGATTGCTAAGAGTGTAGCACAACATCCATGGGATTGACAGGTTTGAGGAAATCATGTTGAAAGATAGAATAATTCCTCTACTTCCACAATTCCCAAATAGTCACACCTTAAAGGAGATTCCAATTAGAAGATAAACTAGTGTTGTTGGGTGGTTTAAAATTCCAGGTCATCTACTCTTTAAGATTTAAAGAGAAAAAAATATGATGAAATCTAGTTGGAACCCATTTATGCCAAATTTGTTTTGCATAATAACAGTCCCTGGTCATATAAAGCATGTCTTCATCATCAAGTTCACATTAATTGCATAAAGGAGAACAAATAGCCCATAAACTTCTCCATTTATTAGTGGGTAATCTATTATGATAAGTAAGCCAAAAGAAAGCATGAATTCTTTCAACCCCCTTCTATTTTTAGACAGTTTTGAACATAAGATCCAGTAAATTTAAAGGTGGTTTTTCAATCATAAAGTATGCAATTTTAGTAGAGAAAGAACCATTAGTAGTTTTATTCCACATCATGAAATCATGACCAGCAGACTAAGAAGGAGGTAATAAGGATATAAGTTTAGATAATACTTCTTGTGGCATAATAAGGGACAATCTGATGAAATCCCACGCTCTAAATCGTGTCCAATCAGCAATTTTAGACTCCATCTCTTCTTCAAAAAGTGGACGCAGCACTAGATATTTAATCTTTTTATTAGGAAAAAGCCAATAATCTTTGAGAAACTTAATTGACTCTCCATCACGAAGCTGCCATCTAGTTCCTTTATCCACCAAATCCTTATGTTGGTAAATAAATTTCTAGGTTGGTGAATCATGAGCTTTAGCTTCCAGCAAGTCTTCTTGAGATATGAACATGTACTTTTTCTACAAAAGATTAGCCCACAAACCTGTGACCAATTTCCATGTAATTTAGTTCCACAAGATCTATTTACATGAGTAAGTTTTTTAAAACCGAGTCCTCCATAGGCTTTAGGAAGAGTGATTCTATCCCAACTTAAAAGGTGGAAGCCTTTTGAGGTTGTACTATCCCAAATAAAATTTCTTTAAAGTTTTTCAATCTCATAATAGATAGTTTTTAGAATGTTGGCAACTTGCATTAGATAGAGAGGCACTGTACTCAATATAGACTTAGCAAGCACCACACATCCAGCAGCAGAA